TAAATAAATGGGACCTGATCAAATTAAAAAGCTTCTGCACAGCCAAGGAAATTATCACAAGAACAAACATTCAAACTACAGAATGGGAGAAAATATCCACATGGTACACATCCAATAAAGAAAGGGCTGATAACTAGAATCTATATAGAATTCAGGAAAATCAGCAAAAAAAATCAAATAACCTTATCAAAAAGTTGGCAAAGGACATGAACAAAGACTTTTCAAAAGAAGACACACTAATAGCCAAAAAACATGAAAAAATGCTCATCATCTCTAATCATCAGGGAAATGTAAATGAAAACCACAATGAAATATCACTTAACTCCAGTGAGAATGGCTTTTATCAAAAAGTTCCAAAACAATAAATGTTGGCATGAATCCAGAAAGATAGGAATACTTATACCCTGCTGGTGGGACTGCAAGCTAGTACCTCTGTGAAAAGTAACATGGAGATACTTCAAAGAGCTAAAAGCAGAACTACCATTTGATCCAGCAATGCCATTACTGGGCATCTACCCAAAGGAAAAAAGACATTCTATAAAAATGACATCTGCACTAGAATGTTTATAGCAGCACAATTCACAATTGCAAGGATGTGGAAGCAACACAAGTGCTCATCAAAACATGAGTGGATTAATAAAGTGCAGTATATGTATACCATGGAGTACTACTCATTCACAAAAAGCAATGGTGATCCAGTACCTCTTGTATTATCCTGGATGGAGCTGGAGCCTATTCTACTAAATGAAGTATCACAAGAATGGAAAAACAAGCACCACATGTACTCACCATCAAATTGGTATTAATTGATCAACACTTATGTGCACATACAGTAATAACATTCACTGGGTGTCAGGCAGGTGGGAGCAGGGAGAGGGGATGGGTATGTAGACCTTATGGGTGCGGTGCACACCATCTGGGGGATGGACACACTTAAAGCTCTGACTCAGGTGGAGTAAAGGCAATATATGTCACCTAAACATTTGTATCCCTGTAATATGCTGAAATAAAATAAGTTTCTCATTTAAATCCTGAATTATTTTTCTGATTTCTTTATATTGGTTTTCAAATTTATCTTGCATCTCATTAAGCTTCTTTAAAATCAATATTTTGAATGCTTTGGCATTTCAAAGAGTTATTGGGATTTATTGCTGGACAATTGCAGTGGTCCTTTGTTGCTGTCACATTTCCTTGCTTTTTCATGTTTCCTGTGTCCCTCTGTTTATGTCTGTGCATGGTGCATATATATAGGATTGTTGTATTCTCTTGCTTAATTGATCCCTATATCATTGTATAATGACCTTCTTTGTCTTTTCTTACTGTTTTTTAATTAAAATCTGTTTTATTTGATGTAAGTGCAGCTACTTCTCCTCACTTTTGCTTTCCATTTGCTTGGAATATCTTTTTCCTCTCCTTTACTTTCAGTCTATGTGTCTTTATGAGTAAGGTGAGTTTCTTGTAAACAGCATGCAGTTAGGTCATATTTTTTATCTGTTCTGCCAATCTATATCTTTTGAGTGGAGAATTTAACCCATTTGTGTTCAAGGTTAATATTTATATATGATGCCTTATTCTGTCATATTGTTAAATTTTTTTGTTGTTT